ACATGCAATTCGCTCTCGTTGTCAAATGTAAGATGATGCTAGAGGACTGACTGGACTACATTGAATCCTACCTTAGAAATAGGGAGTGAAGTGGTTGGTGGAGTGTGTTGACCACTTCACTTATTTGGGAAGTTGCGTCAGCCAACACCAACGGGTTGATCGCTGACGAAATCTCAGCACGGATAGAGAAGCCTAGTTTCGCATATGCCAATTTACGACGTCTCTGGCGTAGACATGATATCCGGCTGGCTATCAACCTAAAAGGGCATGTGTACTGCTCATCAGTCCGCTCCGTCCTCCTTTATGGCTGGCTGTGAGACATGACCAGTGAAAGTGGAAGACATAAAAAGGCTAGCTAACTGTCGCTGATTGTAGGTGTCCGCCTTCTATCTCCCGTGTTAGGTGGTGGTATAATACAGTGAGCAATATGATTGAGGCTAGGCGTCGAGTGCTAGATAGGTGAGAGGAGAAATCAATCGACAAGACTGTGAAGTTACACCAATTCAGATGGTTAGAACATGTCTTACGTATGCCTGGTCATCGCCTTTTTTGTCGGGCAATGTTAGCCGACATAGGGCACTGAACGGCTGTTTCATCCCAGTTTGGGACTCTTCATCAATACACGCCCACCACCAGAGCTCGAATCCAGGACCTTCTGGATACAAAGTTTCCCAATGGTTCTCTTACTGATATCAGTTCATGATGAAATTCTGCAACCAATCAAATGAAATTCCTTACAAAAACCAATACATTAATTACCCATAGTTTAGGCATTATTTGTATTTGTAATACTTCCCAACTATCTCAGTAGATCATTTAATTAGTCGTTCAATTTTTGTGATTACAGGTATTTTCAATTCTATTTATTGACATTATCTTATCTGAAATGACACAGTTTAGGGTGTGTTTGTGGGAAAATAACCGATAATATATATCACATAATTAAATTTTGTTCTTGATAAATAATCTCTTCTTTTTATTTAATTGCAATTTATTCACGAAAGGGGAGTATTTTTCTTCTCTTTCAGAGAGAAAGGTGTTTCATCAATTAATTTCATGAGAATTTTACTCTGACCAAAGAACCATACAGACTGTAGAAAAATAATTGATCGGAAAATCCTTCCTACACAATGTAGTTACAACTATTGATGATTCCTTGAATATTTCAACTAACTGTTTGTTCAGGAGATTGGCAGGAATCCGCAGGAAACCCTGTCTAGACTTATCAGTAAGGCACATCTCCAACCTTAAAGGAACTCATATCGCATGTGAGATTCGAACCCGCATCACCCAGCACTGCAGTTAGAGAGAACTTTGCCAATGGGCCATTTAGGCTCGCTAATGATCGCCTTCTTTATAGGACTGTATAAGATGCTTTGTGAGTAGGTGGCACAGCGATATAATGCTCGCCTACAACTCATATGGTTCGGGGTTCGATCCCCGGCCACAGACGCACTCCTCCTTTACCTCTCTAAGTCAGTAATAAGACTGGTAAAGAAGGAAGGTTGAGTCAGATGAAAAGACACCACTGCTACCGAAACTTCAAGTCTCTAACTTGAAGCCACCCTGTGTTCCACTGGGAAAGTAAAGGAATAAAACAAAAAGTTAGTTCATACATTGATTCCCCTTTGGATGAATTTGAATAAACCAAGAAGAGCAGTTTTCGCAGAGTAACAAGGTACCACCATCATTTATTACACTAGAGACTAACTAGTGCTCAATCAAAGGAACTGCATAATGTGTTTTTTCAAGAAGCTTTGATTAGCGTTGCGTTCAATCCTTTCACACCTACTCTTCAAAATAAACTCCTTATGAATAAAATTTCCGTTTTCTTTTGATTACGTGGATTGTATTGTTTAAATGTTGTTGGAGGCCTTCGTATAATTCCATGCACACGTATTGATATTGATCCTCGTGTTGACACGATATCTGACCTTTTGTTCATGTAAACTATTATTTATCGATTGATAAATTCGATCTACATGATAGCCTATTTAAATGCAAATTGAACTTTTGTACTACTAGGAGTTTTAATAATATTTCGAACATTCTATCAGTTCTGTTCGTAGTTAATATAGACAGACAATAGGTAGGATAATCTCTCACTACCCTGGTAACCAGAAGTGTTTTGCTCGAGTGCTTTTGTGTTTTTTTCCTGTTTTGTAACATTCCACTTATTTTGTGATTTTGATTTTCACGAGTTGATCATGGATTGATGTCAGTTAGAGAACCATTGAAAACCATCCAGGGAGTACTGGACTACTATTTCATCCTAGTTTGGGAATCATCGGCAGTACGCACTTACTGCCAGGGTTTGAACCCAGGACCTTCCAGTTACAAGGCAAGCTGGCTCGTATACCATTCAGCCACTGGGACCCGATTCAATGGCCAGTCCATGAAATCCAACTTCTACCAATTCGTGATATCAATCCGTGACTAACTCGTAAAAACACAACTAACCCTTACAAACCAAACTATAGAAAATTAATCCGATACTCGCTAGTGACTGGCTATAGGATGGAGTGTCCTGGAGTTCTAATGGGAAGTCGTGACCAGCGAGATCCATCCAGACGTCACGTGTGAGGATGGATGTCCCACCGACGACGACGCTAAATCACGAATTGGTAGAAGTTAGAATTCATGAGCCATCGAATCGGTTCCCAGTGGATGAATGGTATACGAGCCAGTTTGCTTTGTAACCGGAAGGTTCTGGGTTCAAACTTTGGCAGTGGGTGCGTACTGTCGATGATTCCCAAACTAGGATGAAACAGCTGTCCAGGACTCACTGGATGGTTTTCAATGGTTCTCTAACTGATATCAATCTGTGATCAACTCGTAAAAACAAAACTAACCCTTACAAAACCAACTATAGAAAATTTCGATTTTCGCTAACTGATTTGCACTCACCACCTATTAAGTTTCTACATGTTCTTCATTGTTTTGTCTATGTCATAACTTTACTGTAGTATTCAATGCCACCCTCTTGAACTCCTTCTTTCACTCCGTTACAATATGTATATATTTCAATCTGTTTTTCGATCTTGTAGTCTGTCTCTTGTCTATCCCTTTTTCTAAGCGAAATCTGAACTCTGCTCACCCCTTTCTTGTTTAAATTACACTATAAATAGTTAGCCCCTATTCAACACTGAATTACGTTGCTTATATATTGGTTGGAGGATTTCATCATGAGCTAACATCAGTTAGAGAACCATTGGTAAACCTGCAGGGAGTATTGGACAGCCAGTTGTTTCGTCCTAGTTTGGGACTCTTCAACAGCACGCTTATACTTTCTATCTACATCTCGAAGTCTCGATGGGAAAAGCGTGTTCAGATACCATTTTGTAACTTATAATTTGATTTAAGTTTCTACGTAGGCAGTTGAAAATAATTCATAAAATAAAATCAGCTCATGTGAATTAACCTGTCTGTAAATATGTTCACTATTTCAAACCATTCAAACTTATAAAGGTGCCCGGTTGTATCGAATTCCCCAGTCAATTAAAAGCAGGTCAACAAGTGGATAGAGAACGTCATTCACTCCAAAAGCACAGTTTATATTGAAGCTAAATATATATTATCATTACTATTATTGTTCCCTTGGATTCCAAGTGGAATATAGGACTTTAACAAAATGTCTCCACTTAGTTCTTTTTTCTGAGGCTTTCTTTAGCTGATTTCCTCACACGAACCCCTCTCCACACTATCATCACACTTACTCCCAATGCGTCGATTCCAAATCAGATTCCATTCCAGCAATGGTCTGGCGGAAGACGTCATTCAAAGATCTTCCCGCCGTATCCCCAATCACCTATCTGCATTTTCTCCTACATATTTGTTGAACAATCAATCGGCTCTTGGTTGGTTTGTTACACTTTCAGAGTTTCTAGTTGACAATTCTTTCTGGTCAGCCGGCCATTTGATCTTCAATATAGTGCTACTGAAGGCCGGCTGTTGAATATATATATATATATATATGGCGGGTTAGGGGAAATGTGATTCTTGGTCTTAAATACTTGAATTTCAGTCAACAGATCTGCAGTTCGATCTCCATTCCACCTATCGCAGCCTGAGTGACAACTAGGCGGCATCATCAGTCTCCACCATACGATATATCTGTGGCCCATAGCTGTTTCACGTAGCTGACTTCTTACTAATCAAGGGCAGAATACCAGTGTGACAGTTCTGGCTGAGCTGTAAACGATATATATACTGTGTCAAAGATGACGAAACATCGTCTACTCAGTTGAACATAAGAAAATTGATCTGATGCTCAATAGCGACTGACTGGCCCTATTCAGGCAGTGACCTGGGGTTCTAGTGGGAAGCCGTGACCAGCAGTGTACAGCAGGTTGAAGACGAGGCAGTAACTCATCGAAGAAGATATTGAGGAGTGGTCGCGCTATGTCATGAATTAGTAGAAGTTAGAATTCATGTACTGGCTGGTCATTGGATTGGGTCTCAATGGCTGCTGAATGCTCTACGAGCTCACTTGCCTTGTAACCAGAAGGTCCTGGGTTCTAACCCTGACGGTGGTCAGTGTTTGTGGATGAAGAGTCCCAAACGTGGACGAAACAGCTGTCCACTGCTCCCGGCTGGTTTTCCGCTGGTTCTCTAACTGATTTTAATTTTTTTTAATTTTTAATTTTGGTTACAGCTTGATGCCAAACCGTATTTTCAGTACAAGTATGGAATTTTCAGCATGGATATCGGTAGCCCAAATTTTGCAGACCGACCATAGATATCGGGTGTGCGCCGGCAGGGGCTCGAACCTCGGACCATGTGCATGGTCGGCGAGAGTCCTAACCACTGTGCCACCGACGCACACACTGCTGTCAGCTCATGATGAAATCCCCCATCCAATCACACAAAATCCCTACAAAAACCAATACTTGAAGATAAGAAAATAAGTTGAAATTCAAATAAACCCTGAATTGATTAATCAATACAGAAAGGAAGATCGAGATCAGGGTTGAGGTTGAGGTTTGCGGTAGAGAACTTACTTCACTGGACGAGCTCTATCATCATGCCAAAGATCTTGTATATCGGGAAGAGTTAATGGAATAGGATTATCCATAGTGAAACCATTCGATGCATCATCTATAGATGAATTAACTAAAGACGATGCTGTAGATGTTCTTGTAGTTGTTGCAGTCAAGGAATGTTGTATGGTACCTGAATTTGACCATGGATTAGGACCAGGATTAGCAAATACAGCTCGCCATTGTGATAAAGCTTCTTCCCATTGTAAACATTCTTTTGTCATTTGACTCACAGTTTCTCTATGCAAAAGTTCCTTATTCTTGTGTAATTGAGCTCTTTCAGGAGAGAGAGAGAGAAAAAACAGGGAGAAAATACAAGATTAAGGGTAAGCTTAATTATTAAATGTGTCAAAGATGGGCACTCTGGTAGTATGTAATTCCACATTAAATTGTTTGTTTCATAAGTATTACACATTGAGAAACAGTACTATCTACTGGAAGACGAAGTTTCGAAAAGTAATTTATTATTGTTCACAATCATATCATCAATTAAAGCAACACAACCTCGTAACTTTCGTTTTATAGTTTACTATATCCCTTCTCATTTGTCGTAGAGTGCGGGGGGAGGGTAGCACAATTTTCCAGATGTCCGAGAGAGGTGGTGAGTTGTTCCTCAGTTACATGAAAACTCTAATTTCTCTGGGGTTTCTTGCCAAGAAGTTGTGGAACCTTTTGGAATTATTTGCCTTTCGAACACTGAATCTGTGGATATAATCTTGTTGACCGATAATACGCATAACTATCTGTTTGGCATTTTGTAACTGTTTAACACTAACTAATATCTATAATTGTATATATTGATGGATTTACATGTCTAATTCGGCCCAAGTCAGCGAGTCTATGATTTTGGTATCATTTTTGTTAAATGTATCTGACTGTGATACTACTGCTAAGTTAATTTTTTATTGTTGTTGTCGCTGCTCTTCCTGTTGTGAATTATTTTCCTTTTGCTGGTATTGTACTGACTGCTTTATTCCTGGTTTTCCTGGTTTTAAAGGAAGCTACCCGCAAGTTTGCTTCTCTGTAAACTATATTTTAATGTAACAACCCCCTTCTCAGGCGTGAGGCTAGCAACCCCACCCTGTGAACAAAGTTGCTTCAGAAACTTCAGCACGATGAGTCTCCTTGCGACAAAAGAAAAAAAGTTCCTGTTGAATATATTCTCAGCGGGTCCAATAAATAAAGCTTCCGTTATCAACCTCTCCTTCCATTATGCTATATTAGATTTTAAAACTGTCATCTTATCCCATCCTATGCTATATGGTTGGTTGTGTGTAATTGCATGTGGTGAGTGCTATAGCTAAACTATTCTCTAGATTTCTTATCTTATTCGGGTCAACTAATCAAGATTTTGTAAGGCTTTTCTGCTCCGCAATTCTGAATGACACCATCGCACTCTACTTTGACGTGACAATCATTTCAGCGTATTAGATAAACTAAATTTCTTTCATTGATGATAGGCTCCACAGGCCCCTTGAACCGGCGAAGCTTGTTTCGGAGTGAGTATGCGGTTGGTTTGAATGCCACTTTTATTCCTGCCAGCGTTGTTAAGAATTCTACGTAGGTTTTCTGACATTCCTTCTTTGTATGGAAGTACTACGAACCTTATTATCATTCCGTGCATATTCACCATACATGTCGTTATTATTATTATTATCACTATTACTATCAGTATTACTGTTATTATTAACAACAATTTTATTTTTACATTTTCCCACACATTTCCTGATTAATTTATCAGGGTAATTATTAAGTTCTAAGGCTTCTCTTATATGTCTCACTTCCTATCTTAGAGTTTCCTTGGTACTACTTAGTTTTTGTGCCATATTATTACCTAATCATTTCACCATTCCTATTTCTACTGACATGCAAGGTGCGATAATCCAAAATCCAAATATCGTTTTAAATGTGTAGGTATTCTGTAAACATTAGTGTTTAGCTTCCCATTCCTTCTCTGTTTTATGCTATTATCCAATATTGGAAACCCACCTTCATGACCTCCTCCTGATTCATCAGTGAACTGAATTGCATTTACCTACGAGTTAATGCGTTCGAAAAATTTATTTATGTCCTGTGTTTTAAGTACGGTGAATATGTTAACAGGGTGGAAGAAGAGATTGACATCGAAAGCTTTATTTATCGTCTGTCTGTCTGTTTTCACCATAGAACTTTACACCCATGTGTAGCAGTTCAAGTCGCCACACTCCATGTACCACACAAAGGGATATGAGACATAAGTAATAGTAATATAGAAGAACAATATCCTTTCATTGAAAATTATAAGTCACAAGGAGTGGATGCATCTCCATCAGCCATTGAGAACGATTTTGAGCCATATCACCAACTCCCTCGAGCCATTGGTGTTCACCGTCCCGATAACCCCAAACAGGAAGTGTACACCTTTGTAGGCGGTTGGCTGGCTTAAACTAACTGTTGTGGATTTCATTGACTGGTGCCACCATGTTTTCGTTTGAGCGCCACTAGATCGTTTCTCACCTGACTCTAAGATTTCCCATCGAAGAAGGCGATGGATGGCTAGGTATGCTTGCATAACACATGTCGTAACCATGTCAGTTGGTGTAACTTCACAGCCTCGTCAATTGATTCCGCCTCCTTACCTAGTACTCAACCGGTGCCTAAACTCGATATTGCTCACTTTATTATACCACCACTTAACACGGGAGATGAAACGTAGACACCTATAATCAAAGACACCTAGCCAGGATTTTTATGTCTTCCACTCTCAATGGCCAGCCATAAAGGAGGGTGGAGCGGACTGCTAAGCAGTACCCATGCCCTTTTAGGTCGATAGCCGGATATCATGTCTACGCCAGAGATGGCGTAAACTGGCATATGTGGAACTAGCCCTCTGTATTCGAGCTAAGATTTCGTCAGCGATCAACCCGTTGGCGTTGGCTGATACAACACTCCAAATAAGTGAAGTGGTCAACACGCCTCACCAACCATTTCCCTCCCTATTTTCAAGCTACGAGTCAATATAGTCCAGTCAGTCCTGTAGCATTATCTTATATTTGACAAATGGAGCGAATCGCATGACAAACATTAGCAGATCGCAGCTCAAGGTGTTCAGAAGACTCTGCTCTATTTTGTCAGCGTTTTCACCTAGAAGGACTATATCACCTGCATATTCTAATCCCTGGTAACAAGTCAATCCCTGAGTCACTGAAGTCACTGAGAGTTAAGTGCATTATATATTTATGACTAAATTGAATAGAAATGTGGATAGTGGACATTCCTGTTGGACACCACTAGTTGTCACTACTTCAAATGACAACTCGCCGTAAGCGAAAGGTACTCTTGAGAACTACTTTACCAACTGTCTCCAGCCAGCATCGGTTCTTACCAACCCATGGACCTCAACTAGTCAGGAAGCCTATATCACCCTAGGTTCTTCAAACTATCAAAGATCTCATGGACTAATTCCTCGACGAAGAATACGATAACTTCTCTTGTGCAGCATGTTTCCTAAACATCTCAATCAATATAACTTCACAACCACATCGACTGAAATACCCGCCTTATCTGGCATTCAACGCCTAGCCCCAGATATCACTCAACACAGAAGATACAACGCAGGCATCTATGGTAACAGATAAACAGACAGATAGAGTCGAACAGGATGAATTTCCATTTCCTCATAATATTTATCAAATATTCAATTGTTGGTTTGTAGGGATTTGATTGGTCAGAGGAAGATTTCATCATCAGCTGACATTGGTTAGATAACCATTGGAAAACCAGCCGGCAGTACTGGAGTCCCAAACTAGGATGGGACAGCTTTCCAGTACTGCCAGGTTTTCCAACGGTTCTCTAACCGATGTCAGCTCATGATGAAATCCTGTAACCAATCAATCAAATCCCTACAAACCAAAACTTGAATATCAATGAGATGCTCATTGTTGACTGACCCTATTCAGGTAGGTAGTTAGTAACCTGGGTTTCTACTGGGAAGTCGTGACCAGTAGGGTACAGCAGGTCGGGTGTGAGGACAAATACTCGCCGAAGACATTGGCTAGCGGTCGCGCTATGTCATGGATTGGCAGAAGTTAGAATTCATGGACTGGCCATTGGATCAGGCCCCAGTGGCTTAATGGTCTACGAGCTTGCTAGCCTTGTAACCAGAAGGTCCTGCGTTTGAACCCCGGTGGGTGCGTACTGATGAAGGAGAGTCCCAAACTAGGACGAAACAGCTGCCTAATACTCTCAATTTTATCAAATAATTCATTTGTAATTATCATTAGAGAGTAGAGTCAAAAAAAAAACGGATAAATTAATAAACTTACAATTCAATTAATGATTGTCCAGTTAAATCATTGACAATAAGTGAACCGGGTGAAATATTTCCACTAATCGATGGGTGATTCAATGATGGATTAAATGAATGATTTACAGGTCCAGGAAATTGAACACTTAATTACAAAAAAATAAAAGTAAAATAAAACAGGAAATTAAAATTGATTGATAATTGATAAATTTTATAATCAGGATTCCTGAACAAGATTTAAACGAAAAAAAAAGTTATACTGCTAATACCGTAACAACAGAAGACAAGAGCCAGGCAACAGAACGTTTATTACAAAAAAATCAACATATATTTATAGATTTTAATGTACATTATTGTAGATTATTGTAAGTAGAAAATATAGTCTGCTGATTGGTTGTTTCTCACAGAAAGTTAACCGTGCATTTCTTTGTGGCTGTGTCAGATCATCCATATGCTAACTGTATCCGCGTATGCAAAGCCTTTGCTCTCATCATTTTCTCACCACCAATATTGGGGACATAAACACTGACGTCAATTACTCTGTCTACCAACTTTGGCTACCAGCCAGCTCTCACCAAAATACTACTAAACAGTTTGTTTAAATAAACGAGTCTACCCGCCAATGACTATAGTCAATATGGCTTATTTTTCCTACTGTTCTTTCATATATCTGTGATTGGGAATCAAAAAAAATAGTTACTAGGAAACAGTGAAATTCCTCTAAGAAGCCTGCACTCTATACTTGTTAGTAGTACAATTTTCTGTTCACTCTGTCCTTCTTTATGGCTGGTTGCGAAATATGGCCATTGAAAGTGGAAGACATGAAAAAGCTAGCTAACTCTAGCTAATCACATCCCGTGTTAAGTGGTGTAATAAGGTAAGCAATATGGTTGAGGTTAGGCGTCAAGTACTAGGTAAGGAGGGAAAATCAATTAATGAGACCGTGAAGTTACACCAATTGACATGGTTACGACATGTGTTACGCATGCATGCCTAGTCATCCATCGCCTTCCTCGACGGGCGATATTACCTAAAACAAGATGGATCAGGTTGAAAAAGAACCAGTGGTAGTCAAACGAAAATATGACGGCACCAGTCAATGAAATCCACAACAGTTAGTTTAAGCCAGGCAGCTGGTCACGTAGGGAGGTGTACAATGTGTGGTTGGTTGGTGTCTTCAGGATGGTAAGAAGCAATGACGGCTGGAGACAATTATCGGTGATATGACTCAAAATCCTAATTCTCAGTCAGTGATGGCGCCGATGCATTCATTCACTCTTTGTGATTTATAATATCCAATACAATTCACACTTCTGTTTACTGTCTCTTTTTTGAATCCCTCTTTACTCTCTTCTCTTACTTTGTGTACTAAATGAGGAGAGTAGAAACTCGAACTGGTGGACATCTATGCAAAGTTCTATAAAGAAGATAAGGTATTCGACCAGAAAGTAGAAGCACCAAAGGAACTCTGCGAGGCAAGAGACTAGACGACCAACGACCTACTCTCATCAATAAATATGCAGAAGGCAGTGGAGATGGATTGAAAATATACGCTTAGGAGATGAGAATCAAGTGACATTATACGCAAAACCATCTAACGGGAGAAAACCTAATGGGAAGAGGACCACCATTTGAAAAGGAAATGAAGGCTTATGGTGAGTCATGCAGTCAGCTGGAAGTGATATAAGAGGAAGAAAGGCAACGGAGATGTCCTCCCGAGACTCTATCTTTCAATCAGAACAGAAGGAGTGAATACTAATACTTATAATGAAAACATCTGACGTCTGCCTGCAGATGAAGAGTTCATCAGACTGAGATATAGCGACTTATTATTATTTATCATTAATTCCTTTACGTTCCCAGTGGAACATAGGGCGGCTTCAAGCTAGAAGCTTGAATTTTCGGTAGCAGTGGTGCTTATTTCTACAGACTGGGGTTGCTAGCCTCACCTGGCCGAACCTTTTCTCTTTAACAGTCTTATTACTGGCTTAGCGAGGTAAGAGAGGAGTGCGTTGACCGAAGATAGATCCCTAAACCACCTGCGGCATGGTCAGCGAGCATTCTCCCGCTGTGTCACCAACGCGCAAGATACATAAAAACAGAATAAGAAACACGTTCATCATCTAACATAGACACGCACCAATTCAAGTTGTTAGACTAAAGCCTAAAGCAATACCCAAAAGAAGCAGTGAATAGCAATAGATCGGTAGTACAACAATACACGCAACTACTTCTGCAGACACACAAAATAAAAGCATCTTCAACACTGTGATGAATTTCGAGACATCTGTGTTAAACTTCTACAATCAATCAATCACTTATAGGAAATATCTGGAGGATTGATTTGAAATCAAAGTACCCCCACCCCATCCCCGCCAGAACAGTTGAAGATAATAATTTACGACGTCATGCATCAACACATCGTACGTTCATCCGGAAGTCTATAACTTTTTTCTAAATAAGTTTGCACTACATGAAGTGCCATTTTCAATACAGACAGTGGCAGAGTCTCATGGAATTTGAGACATTCAACTGCTTCAATTATGAAATCGTGTTGTGGTGAGTGCTACTTATAATCCGATATAAGTAGTATATCAGAAACGAAGTAACAATATGTTTGGCACACTGAAAAGAGCAATCAAAGAAGAGAACCATGAGAAGAATGTTGTCATATGATGCAGAATCCATGAAGCTATCGAATGAGACGATATTCGACAGATTCGTCAAGGATGTGGTAAATGATGTGCAAATGGCCGGTTGAGAATGTGGTATACCAAATTTAGCTATGTACCATACGTTTCACCAAATAAACATTCCTTTCAGCCTCCTCAATCTTGTCTTCTCTACAGTGTGTCTAATAGCAGTGCGAGATTCTTAACTGTGACAGACTAGATCATTCGGAAGACGATGCGGAGCGAGAATAATAATAATAATGATTTACTTTATTCTAAAAACAGTACTTGTGATACAGAATGGAATTTTCAGCATAAATCACAGAAAATTTTTCTACATTTACAATAGGGGTAATATCAAAAAAAAAACATGCAGCATATAAAATGGAAATAATAATATTGATAGCAGCTAAGGTAATGATAATAATACAAGTGGAAATTGCCGTGGGCTTATTTCACACAGTATTGTCGATGCGGTATACAAATCCTTACATGATTAAAAATATTGAATATAATGTTCTCTTTACATGATATGGTGAGGGGAAAAAGAAAGATTACAGCAGTCATAGAGATAAGTTGGTGTTTGCAGTTATGAAAGTGAAAAACAAAGAATCAACAGGACCATAAATATAATAGAAATAATAAAGGTAAAACTCGAAGGTATATAAGGGTGGATGGAGGAAATTGTTCATTTACTAGATGAAAAAAGGTTAGTCAGTTCTTGTCTGACTCTATTTTCATCACATAAAATACGTGCCAAGTATGATATCATAGAATTTTTATACTTCGACGTGCGAGCATACCGTTTTCTGAAGTTACTTCTTGTTCTACCTGAGGAGATGCAAGGTGAAAACTGAGGGTGAAGTGGATGCTCCAAGTCAGACAAAATCCCTTTAGCAAATTTACTGCACGAAGTCAAATGCCTATCGACAACCACGTTAACTATGTAGTCCACTGGGAAACCACTCATCCTACTGACAGTCTTCAGAAAACAGGAATACGTTAGATGATATGTGTCTGGTGTTACACAAACTCTAAGACAGAGCTTCCAGCGAACATAGATAAAATGGATATGATGAAAATAACCAACCAACCAACCAATGACAATAATAAGCACCAATCACTACTGATGGAAGGAATTCCAAAGAAGGCACCTCCTTCATTTATCTATCTAGGCAGCATCGTTCCAACTACAAGCGGCACATGTTGATTAGACGTTTCAGTGATATCGCGCGCAAGGCTGTCACTTGAGTAGAACCCAAATGGGAAATAGCGAGTTTGGTGTCCAAGGGTCACATGGAAGAGATAGTATGTGGCAGAAATTAGAGCTTATGGGCAATCGTCGAGTCGGCCAGCCAGCTAAACAGGACTGAAGAGAACAGAACAAAGTGGTGTTCTGTCGAAGCTTAAGATCCCATTCGATACCCAAGCCATCAATAATAATAATAAGAATAGTGTGCATGTGTGAGTCCATAGATCGGTGATACAATGCTAGTCAGCCACGTATTATTATTATAATATTATTATTTCCTTTAATTCCTAGAGGGACCTAGGGCTTCAGCCACACTTCTCCATTGCGTTCGGTTCTCCAACAACGTTTTGATCACCTGGCTCCACGTCTGCCCACATGCTTTCATCTCCTCTTCATATCATCTTCTCCAAGTTATCCTTGGACGATCAAATCCCCACTTCCCATTCGGCCAGGTTGCACTCGAGCGACGGCCTAGCAAGTGTGATGTCACTTGATGGTTTTCTCAGAGTATGGCCAATCCATCTCCATTTCTTTCTGCCTATTTGTTTCACAATCGGTTCCTGGTTGGTTCGCTCCCAGGGATCTCTGTTGCTGATCTTTTCTGGCCATCTGATCTTGAGTTGTATTGAGCGAAGACAACTGTTAATGAAGGTCTATGGTTTGTTTGAGATGCTCTTTATGACGCCCCGCCAAGTCTCTGATCCGTATGGCAAGTAGCAATGACGTCATATTGGAGTTGAAAATCCGGATCTTATATTTCCTGCTGAGTAGTGCTGTTGACCTCCACACAGACTTGAGAGTAATGGAAGCTTGTCTTGCCCTCCCGATCCTTTCTTTGATATCCTCGTAGTCAGCCACGTAGACGATCCTAATTCAATCAGCAGGCAACGTAACCATTTAATCTCTTCTAGTCTACCAGCCTCGAAAAGTGGAAAAGTTTGAAGTCAGTTAGTTAGGAACATAGAAAAATGAACCCAAATTGACGGTCGTGTACATAGTCGAGTACTTACTTACTTTACTCTACTTCGGCTATCTCCTACGGGAGGATGAGCCGGCTTCATGAACATCTCGAATCATCGCTACCCAGGCACGGCGATCTGATGCAAGGTTTTGCGTCGTTTGTAAGAGAGTTCATGAAGTTTCATGGGAATTCGGTACGAGTGATGTCCCCAGAATCGCTCAGCCTTTTGTTTGAGAGTGCAGCTCTAGCCTTTACACAACCAAGTGTGACCTGCAAGGCAGTAGGAGTGGAGTAGGGAGTCCACTATCCATTGGCAGCCGGTGACCGGAGTTCGGTTCATACGCCTTTGTGAATGGGGCCAGACATTCAGTACATCCAACAAGCCCTTTGTCCATACGTCTGCCGGTGAGCTCCAGTGAGCTTCATACGCCAGTCGTTGGATGTTTGGAATCAGGGTTTATCCATCTCTCCTAGACTGTCATCCAATGGACAGTCAACCCGGTGAAGAGCGCCGGGTATCCACTTTCGCCCTCTCACTTTGGTGAAAGGTATCACTTCGTACCCCTTCCACCCGCCTTTCACAAGATGAAGCAGTGGAGAAACAAAGCCAGTCTACTAAACCATGACAAACCCTTATCAGGAAAAACTCCCTACCAGTGAGATAGATAACAACGATAACATATATTATTGATGAAATTGTAATCACTAAGCTTAAAAATGTTCTCATAGCTACCTACTCCTTTTCTAGTAGTCATTCAAATTGTTACAATCACTAAATGACTAAGTTTGACATTTCTATTTTCAATTCTCATATAATAAATAGCACTGAAAAGCCACATACTTTTGAGATCACATAGAGAATACTCTTCAAGTTTGAAGATAAAGCCAAATGCAAACACACGCACACACACACAAGAAACCACACAGACATGCAAGCAAGTATGCGAGCATACAACCTTCATATTATATATCTATACCTGACAATTGAAAGCAACCACATTCAAATCGTTAGAACGTAAACTTTATGACAATAAACAGTACGACTATTATTAGTTTTAGTTTGACGATTGCAAAGAGAGAGAGAGAGCGATTGGAACATTCCTTTCACAGAAAAGTAACAAAATGAGATTTATCTGTGTACTATATAACAATTATTCCTTTTTATTCACGGTATAACTCGTTATCTATCTACCTAGCTAGAATTCACTGATACTTCTAGACTGGTTTGGTTCCGTATTAGTAAACTCAACGCCGGTTACGGACCAACGTAGGGTAAGTCGGGATGTACAATTGTTGGGATAGACCTTTTCTAACCCCCCCCCCCACCCACCAACCCACCGATTTCCAGAGTGAAGAGACAGCATGCGTGCTGAGGGGAACACCTCACTGCTGTTACATCCATCCCCGGTTCTCCAGCAGTACGAATTCGCCCACAGACCCCCAAGCAGAGTGTAAAAAAATTCTTACACCAAGTCGGTAACTGCTTTTAGTTTAATCGCTATCCTAACAACCGTTCTGGCATGGTAGGACCTGCAGGAACAATAGTTCCAGCCAGTGTAGCTTGTTGGGTCATTGAGAAGTGCAAGCCCGGCGACTACCACTTCAAGGTAGCAGCTATCGGTCAGGACTTCTAGACAGTGGAGTTTGTGATGTGGTTATGTCTTCTGAGCTGGGTTGATTTTACTGTGATACAGCTTTCGTTATTCTCCACGACAATCTGTTTAGCGCTAACATTCATCTGAGCCACAAATCTCCTCTATTATCTCACAATGATGTTACTTGATTACCTGGTGACCACTAGTGAAATTTAGAACGCGAGTTTCGTACTATATCGGACTCGTCATCTGGATGTACATGCATTCAGAGTGAGTGTTGGTGTTCCCGACAGAGATTCGAACCCATTACTCATAGTTTTAAACACCACAACTTTGTCCAATAGGCTGATGGGGAATGCGGGTACATCCAGATAACGAGTACCGAATAAGACGAAATGCGCATCCTGGATTCTACTGCTAGTCATTATCCACCAATTAAGACATAAACCGCCTAGACTTAAAGCACCATGGAGTGGAAACACAAACTAGTGGCATCTCACTGAAATTCTTCTGCTTAAAACACTAAAAGAATACTTTGACTGAATGTGTTTGGTCCTCCTTCCTTTTTTAGTGCACACTGAATTCTATCAGTCAGTCAAGTTTGCAATGTTGTCACCAACAAGTTAAGTGACTCGCCATTACGGTGCATTACGGTGAATTGTTGATATTAGATAGTTGGAAGCAATCGACAGTAAGCTCTGTCTAGATCTGGGTTTCGTGCTAGTTGGCACTCACCAGTCAGCAAGACGTATCTGCACCAAAGATAGGACTTGACACATTAATACTAGTTACTACCTGGTGTCCAATCAAAAGCATCAAACAAAGTCACACAGAAGATGCACCGAGAGCAAAAATAGCTCGGCAGTAACGTCTCTGACTGCTGTCTGTCTGTCTGTCTGGTTTCAACATAGAACTTTTCACCGATGTGCACCAGTTCACCACACTCTCTCCATGTAGCACACAAAGCAAGAGAAGGAAGTAGAAGAAATGCATAATAGAGACAGTAAACAGAGCTGTGAGACAAAGGAATAGTAATAACGAAGAACAATATAGTTTCATTGGAAATTCTAAGTCACAAGGAGTGGATGCATCTGTGTCAGTCATTGAGAACGATACTGAGCCATATCATCAATCGTTTCCAGCCTTCATTGGTTTCTACCGTCCCAAGGACCCCAACTAGTCAGGAAGCCCACACCTTCCTACGTGGCTGGATGCCTGGCTTAAACTAACTGTTAGGGATTTCATTGACTGGTGCTGCCATGTTTTGGTTTGACCGCCACTAGCTCTTTTCTAACCTGACCCTATGTCAGCTAACATTGCCCGTCGAGGAAGGCGATGACAAGGCATACGTAAAACATGTCCCAACCATCTCAGTTGATGTAGTTTCACAGCCTCGTCGATTGATTTCCCCTCCCACCTACCTAGCACTCGACGCCTAACCTCAATATTGCTTACCTTATTATACCACTTCACACGGGAGATAGATCGCAGGCACCTATGATCGAAGACAGCAACCAGGTCTTTACATGTCCTTGACTCTCGATGGCCAGGTCTCACAGCCACCCATAAAGCAGCAGTACACCCGCTCTTTGGTCGATAAACGGATATCACGTCTACGCCAGAGACGGCGTAAACTGGCATATGCGAAACTAGCCCTATGTATCCGTCTCTGACTGCAGCACTGGGTGACGCGGTTTCGAATCTTAGGAAGGACATGAGTTGTTCCTTCAAGACAGTTGCATATACGCCTTGCTGACTAGTGAGTACCAACTAGCACGAAAGCTAGGTCAGGCAAGGCTTCCTGCAGATTGGCTCCAAGCATCTAATGTCAACAATACACAAACACAGTATACTAGAGTCCGAGGTGAATGTGTGCTCCAGTTGGGGAATGAGAAAGCTTTGCAATTATAAAACCACCAGCTCAGAGACGACAAACACAATCCACCTGAGCTAGAAATCCTCGCCTTTATTAATCCACAAATATCTCGGAATCAAATGAGAGAAAGAGTTATCTATGCCAAAGGCTAAAATAAGGGAACAGACTAATAACGGTTTAACACTTTGACTATAAGGAAGAGGAACAATTGATGAAAGTATTTTTATTTAGCCAATGTTTCATATAAATTAAACCATTCAGGAACCTGAAAGAAACAACCTCCTTTACCTACACACCTACCTGGGAAGCATCGATTCAACTACAGGCAGAACTGACGAGGATATCAAAGCAAGAATCGGAAAAGCAAGACAAGCTTTCACTACTCTCAAGTCTGTGTGGAGGTCAACAGCACTACTCAGCAGGAAAAATAAGATCCGGATTTTCAACTCCAATGTGAAGTCAGTGCTACTTACCATACGGATTAGAGACTTGGCGAGTCATAAAGAGCATCTCAAACAAACCAAAGACCTTCATTAACAGTTGTCTTCGCTCAATACCACTCAAGATCAGATGGCCAGAAGAGATCAGCAACAGGGATCTCTGCTAATGAGCGAACCAACCAGAAACCAATTGTGCAACAAATAAGTAGGAAGAAATGGAGGTGGATTGGCCATACACTGAGGAAACCATCAAGTGACATCACTAGACAAACCATTGCTCGAGTGGAACCCGAAAGGGAAGCGGCGAGTTGGTCATCAGTGCAAGGGTGCCACGGAGGAGTAGGTGATGTGAAGAGGAGATGAAAACGTTTGGGCTGACTTGGAGCCAGGCGAAGACTCTAGCAGAGAACCGAATGCAATGGAGACGTACAGCTGAAGCCCTATGTTCCACTAGGAACTCAAGGAAACAATAATAATAATAAACCATTTATAAAACAGTCACACATGACTACTTACCCATTTTGTTCTAACAGATTTGACAGACTCAATTCAGATTGAAATTCTTTAAGCCAATTCGATTGGAAATGGTGAATATTTTCACCGCCAAAAACTAACAGATGCCATCTGGATGTATGAAAACAAAGAAGGAAAATAAAGAAAAAAGAAATTATAACTTCTAATCTTACTTAACTAAGATTTACAACACAGTTGAACACGAGACTAGAAGTTATTACTCTGGGTGTAACAACAGAAGACAAGGATCAGGCAACAGATCCTTTATTAAGGAAAATCAACACATATTTATAGATTTTAATGTACATTATTATTGTAGATTATTGTTAGTAGAAAATGCAGTCTTTTGATTGGTTGTTTCTCACAGAAAGTTAACCTTGCATCTCTTTGTGGCTGTGTCAGATCATCCATATGCTAACTGTATCCGCCTACGCAAAGCCTTTGTTCTCATCATTTTCTCACCACCAATATTGGGGACATAAACATTGACGTCAATTACTGTCTACCAACTTTGGCTAGCAGCCAGGTCTCACCACATGGGTATGTCAATTAGTGGCATCCGGGAATTGTGCTTCACCCTTCCTAGCATTTCCAACAGGCTACGGTAGACTTTTCTCAATAGATGTCCCTCTTCTCTAGCTTCATACTCAATATCAGATTGCAAGAGAGAATGAGCAACAAGAAACTCTGGAAACAAACAAACCAAGAACCTGTCGCTGAACAAATACCCCGAAGAAAATGGAGATGGATCAAACATACAACGAAGAAACCGTTCAGTGAAATCGTGTGCCACGCCAGTGCTCGAGTGGAACCCTAGCAGGAAACAACCAGTTGGGTGCTGCCTCAAGGGTGACATGTAGGAGATCGCGTGTCGAGGATATGAGAGCCCGTAGGCAATTGTGACGCGAGTCGATATAATAATAATGATTATTATTATTCCATTGGGTTCCCAGTGGAAAATAGGAATTTATTAACACATCTCTCTCTTTCATCTTGTTCTCCGCAATCCCCTTTAGCTGGAGCTTCACGATTACTGATAATCCCTCATCTCCTCCATGTCAACCTCAGACACTCTAACTTGTCATTTGCCACTCGGGTTCTACTCAAAATTTTGCGTCGGAAACACAGCGGGTGTTTAGTGCCCACAAAAACCCAAACGAGGAAGAAAAAGCTATCCATCACTCCCCGCTGCTTTTCAGTGGTTCTTTAAGTGCTGGTATCAATCCGCAATCAAACATAAGAAAAATCAAATCCTTAAAATTTACTCTTGAAAATTTATTTAATGCTCTCTAGTGACTGGGTGGCAACAGGACAAAGTTGCATGGAGTCACTTTTAGTGAGGAGTTGTGACCAGTAGCATCCATCAGGTCGAGAGTGAGGACAAATACTCGCCACAGATGACATTAACTGGTGGTCGTGATGAAATCATAAATTGATAGAAGTGAGGATTCACAGGCCACTGCGTTGAGTCCCAATGGTTGAATGTTCTACGAGCTTGACTAGTAACCAGAAAGTTCTGAAATCGAAATCCAGTGGATGCGCACTGCCAATGAGAGCCATACTAGGAAGAAACAGCCGGCTGTTCAGTACTCTCCGGCTATGAATGGTTCTCTAACTGGTATCAGTCTGTGATCGAACTTGATAGAAATCAAATCGCCTACGGGTGAACATAGAGAAAACAGAGGTGATGAAGATTCCTGGCCAACAGCAAAAGCAACATCAACAACGACAGACAAGAATCAGCATAAATTGGAGGAGTCTGAAAGAAGCAACATCCTTTACCTACCCACCTACCTGGGAAGCATCGTTTTAACTGCAGGCCGACGGAACTGATGAGGGTATCAAAGCAAGGATCGGGAAATCAAGGCAGGCTTACATTTCTCTCGAGTCTATGTGGAGGTCAACAACATTACTCAGCAGGAAAATGAAAATAAGATGCGGATTTTTAACGCCAATGTGAAGTCAGTACTACTTTATGGATCACAGACTTGGTGCCGCGCCGTGTCACGAAGGACACTTCAACAAACTACAAACAATCATCAACAGCTGTACTCACTCAATACAACTCAAGATCAGATGGCTGGCCAGAAAAGATCAGCAACAGGGATCTCTGGCAATGAACGAACCAACCTAGCAGGAACCGATTGTACAACAAATAAGCAGAAAGAAATGGAGGTGGATTGCTCATACTCTGAGAAAACAAACGATAAAGTGAGTGACATTACACACCCCGCCATTGCTCGGGTGGAACCCGAACGGGAAATGGTGAATTGGTCGTCAGTGCGAGGATGAAATAGAGTGGAGGAGGTCATGTGAAGAGGAGATGAAAGCATGTGGGCAGACATGGAGGCAGGTGATGAAAACGTTGGCAGAGAACCGAACGCAATGGATACGTGCGGCTGGAGCCCGATGTTCCTCTAGTAACTAAAGGAAACAATAATAATGATAAAATCATAATGTGAACCTCCCACTTATTACGTACAAACATTTACTATACACACATGGAGATAAATAAACAAGGTGTCTAGACAACTAACAAAAACACTCAATTGTACAACAGTTCACAGCAAACATGTATATGCATAAATTTTATAGAAATCAAAGTTCAATGCAAAACAAAATCAACATTCACTATCTACCATGTGACATGAATTTAAACATTTTAAACTTGATTCTACCCATGGTGTTTTGTTTACTCACTCACTCACCCTCTCTGCATTTCAGACAGTTTTATTGTATCTTAACCCCCATTATACCCCGCCCGCGGTAAAGAAAATTCACCTGCCAATACTGTTTGACAGATTGAATGTTATAGAACATGATTTAAGCCAGGAAATACGTATATTTTGGTAAATTCTCATCAGGCTTTACATTTACACAATTATTAAGTATTATTCAGCCAGAGGCATTTGGAATAATGTGGCCTATAAGACATTTAGGATCAGAGCTCAGGGATGTGAATTAATGGATACCAATTGAAAGGGGGGAGGGAAAGGTGCCTACTGACTGGAGGTAAAGTTACCTCACGAAACTACCAAAGAAAGGCGACTTAGGACTCTGCAAGAACTGGCGAGGAATCATGCTCCTGTCGAGGCCAAGTAAAATTCTGAGTCGCATCATCCTGGAGAGAATCAAGGACGCACTGGATACAGAACTCCGACCAGAACAAGCTGGATTCAGGAAAGGCAAATCATGTTCTGATCAAATTGCAACTCTACGCATCATCATCGAACAAGGCATGGAATGGCAATCAAACCTCTACGTCAACTTCCTTCATAGACTTTGAGAAGGCCTTCGACAGTGTTGACCGCGAAGTAATTTGGAAACTACTCGAGTACTACGGCGAACCCCAAATTTTCATCAACCTTATTCAACAGCTGTACGGCAACGGCACATGTCAAGTGATCCACAACGGAAAACTCAGCTAAGCGTTTGGAGTAAACACAGGAGTCAGACAAGGGTGCTTACTATCACCAATGATATTCCTAATTGTGATGGACTGGATTATGCGTCAGACAGTGGGAAACGAGAAGACAGGGATATCCTGGACCGACGTGAAGAACCTAGAAGACCTAAATTTCGCGCGTGGATGATTTATGTTTGATTTCACACAAGATCGAAGACTTACAAGCCAAAACCGACAAACTGGTCAAAGAAGCTGGCAGCAAAGACTGCACTTCAGGTGAACATAGACAAGACGGAGGTTATGAAAATAACCAACCAACAACAGCAGCAACATCCAGTGCCAATCACCATCAACGGGAGAGATTTGAAAGAGGTTACTTCATTCACTTATCTAGGGAGCATTGTCTCAACTACAGGAGGAACGGACGAGGATGTCAAATCGAGAATCGGGAAGGCGAGAAACACATTCATCAACCTGAAACCAATCTGAAAATCTTCGTCACTCAGCATCAACAACAAAATTCAGATTTTCATTACAAACGTCAAGTCAGTTTTGCTATACGGATCAGAAACTTGGTGGGTCACAAAGAATATTTCCAACAGCCTGTTGCAGACCTTTATCAACAACAACTGTCTTCGTTTTGTACTGAAGATCAGATGGCCGGAAAGAATCACCAACAAGAAACTATGGGAACAAACAAACAAAACAAGAACCAATCGCCCAACATATGTGCAGGAGAAAGTGGAGATGGGTTGGACACTCGTTGAGGAGGCCGCTGGGTGACATCGCGCGTCAGGCCATCGCTCGAGTGGAACCCGAAAGGGAAGCGGCGAGTTGGACGTCCAAGTGTGACATGGAGGAGATCGTGTGAAGAGGAGTTGAAACGGTATGGACTAACATGGATGCAAGTGTAAAGTACAGCCGAAGACAGAAAAAAGTGGAGGCGTGCAGTTGAAGCCCTATGTTCACCTAGGAACCCAAGGGAACAATAATCATAATGAAAAATTGAGGTGATCCCAATAATAACAATAACAACGTAAATTTACTCAAGTGTTTCTATAGTCTAATTAATTCTGAATATATAGGTGGAATGTGTATAGTAGTAGTAGTAAGGGGACTAGCAGGACTCGGACAATGCAGTCTACACTTCTCTACATGGCCTAAACCAAATGTCACGGACTTCATAGACTGATCGCATGTTTAAGTTATTCCATTCTTAACTATTTTCTAACCCATTACTCGATGGAGAAGGCGGTGACTCGGTGTACATAACACGTATTCTAGCCATTTCAAACAATGTAGTTTCACGACGTCATCGATTGACTTGCCCTATCCTCCTTACCTCCTTACATGTGACGCCTAATCCCAATATTCCTGAGCATATTATACGCCTTAACACGAGGGATAGAACACCTAACATTTTCATATATTCCAATTTCAATGGCTATATCTGTCTAACAGCCATAAAGGAAGACACAATGAACTTCTGTGCAGAACGCACATCGTTTGATCGAGAAACCAGTAAGATTTGACGTCTACGTTAGAGATGATGCCAATTGGCAAATGTCGCACAAACCTTTTATATATTCATGCTGAGATTTCATCAGAGACCAACCCACTTGGGCTGGACTGATACAACTTATCAAATAGCTGAAGTAGTCAACACGGTCGACCACTTACTTCACTCCCTATCTTTCACCTGGAA